ATACTGCAAGAATTACTTCATTCATTTTTTCCCCTTAAAAGTCCAATAATAAAACTAAATTTAGATGATTTGTAAAATTATTCTATTTTTTCTTGGGAAGAGCATTTCTGATTAAACTGGCTTGATAGGTGCTCAAACTTAAAATGAGAATTTATTTCTGATGATCTTATTCCAATATATTTCAATACCATGTTTCCCAAAAATAAGACCGGGTCTTTTTTTTTTTTTTTTTGCCTCCAAAAGAGGCACCAGGTCTTACTTTCGAGAGATGTCTTACTTCCAGCACCGACAACCCTGCCCAGCCGGTTCACTTCTTCTGGGGCCAAAGGAGCAGCTTCATTCTGCACCTGCGTTCCGGCCTACATTTCGCAGTCAGGCCTTTCCGGAAGGCCTATGCAGCCGAGCACAGAGCTATGGATTCAATTCATAGCTTGGTTCTTGACTGCAGAGGTCTTGCAGAAAGGCCTATGACTGAGAAATGCAGGCCTGGCTGCAGAAGACGCCTCAGAAAAAGTGGGCTAGCGAGGAGAGTTCTGGCTGCAAGGTAAGTGGGTGTGGAGTGCATGGGGCAGATCCTACCCCCACCCTAGCTTGATTTTTAAATGTGTACTTTGCTTCAAAACTAGGACTTATTTTTGAGATGGGGCTTATATTAGGCCCATCCCCAAAAATCAAGCTAGGGTTTATTTTTGGGGTAGGGCTTTCTTTCGGGAAAACACAGTAGTTGCGGTATGATTCTTCTTTGAGAGGTCTCTTATATAGAACCAAAGCACTTGGTAGAAGCCCCAATTACACAATGCACTTAGTGTCATCATGGCACAGTATGAATCATTTGCAGGATGATATCACGATTCATGAGCTGTCACTCACTTGCCATGGATATCCTTGTAATGGGAGATATTACTATTTTTAATTTTGTTTTGCACCTCTTGCTTTTCTGGCCAGACAGTGTTTAACTTCTCACTGTACAATGCTGAAACATTTTTCTCTTTTACTTAACTCTTCACATACAACTCTTTTATTTCAGTCTGCTCCATGTTAAGTATGATAGTGTGTGTCCCATTTCCCTGATACGTGATGTTTCTTTTGGATGTAATGTTTTTCTTCTGTTTTAAAAAAATAGGGTAGTATTTATAGAGTTTATCTTATGTTATATGAAGTTATAAGAAGAAAAGCTAAAACTCTCCCAGTGCCACTGTAAATGAGTCTATACATCTTGCTACTGCCTGTCTACTCCTTTCCCTCAATCTTTGCCAGCATTAAAGCCTTTTCCAGAAAGCTGAGTCTTTACACAATGTGTCCAAAGTAGGATAATTTGAATCTGATTATTTGGGCCTCAAGTGAGAACTCTGGGTTGATTTGTTCAATGATCCATTGTTTTTTTTTTCTTGGCTGTCCATAGAGTTACTGTTTCAGAAACAATTATTTTATTCCAAACTTTAGGGACAACAATACTATCCATCATATTCATCTTAATTTTTCAGACCACTGGTTTCTGAATTTTAAGTAAATCTTGTCTGTGTTGAGTAATTGGCAAAATTAACTCACAGAAAGCCTATTGTTTGTGGTTCAAGTTCTGCTTTTTCCCATACACCATGTCTTGAATTTCTTTTCCAAAACAGCAGGTAAATATGTTTGGCTAGCTGAAGTGGCTGGGTGCCAGTTGAAATGGACAGCTGTCCCTTGAAGCACATGGAAGTTTTGGGTGCCATCATTTCTCAGACAATATATGACAGCTTGCATTGTGTGGAAAGAATTTTGACATTTGAGGGTACCTGGGGTGCACAGCTGCTGCTCTTTAGTGGTGGTGAATTTATTATCTGTTTGGAGGCTTGAAGAACTGTAATTATTTTGGATATACTGAAGAGTGTTCTTCCAAAGAAAATACTTGTGATGAGCTATTTTTTAAACACACACACACACACACACACACACACACACACACATACACACACATTTTCTAGCTGATTTCATTCCTACCTGTCATTTTCAAACTGCCTAAAGGTGCTGCTTTAATAAGGATTTGATTCTCAAGTTCTTCTTTGTGTGTGTTTGTATTTAAATCAGTCCAAGGGTGACAGAAACCTGTTATTAGCAGGCATCTCCCAATTATCTGCTAATTGGTGTCTTAGCAGGCTTTCATAGAAAAAGTTTGTACATATATGTCATCTTGGTTGCAAAAGGATGACTTTTAAGCCAGGGTGAAATGTTAATTCATGTCAAGTTCCCTTGTTCCCTGATGGTTCACTATCAGCCTTCTGGGATCCAGCTCCATTAGGAATTGTCTATTATTCTGTGGCACAGGAAAAAAATTAAGACAGATTCAATATCAGAAGTGCCTACTTGATCTTTCTTATGTTCCTCCCTGCCCCATCACCTTTGCTTCAGTTTGCATTGTGCTTTTCTTAAATTCTAAATCCAAGGGTAGAAATTCTCTCTTTATTGAGCTATAAGTACTACTCGGTATAAATTTAGTTGAAAGTAGACATAGCAAGGACAGCTGCTGCTAAAAATGATCTTTGTGTTAAGTAAACAATAAAATACAAAGACTAGGCAAATATACACAAATGACAAATTGTCATTTAATCTGAAAGCAATAATATGAAACTGATGCAGAGAGAGAACCAAATGAATTTAAAATGTGATAAAGACAGAAAATTCATTTATGGCTACTTGGAAATAAACTTCATTGTGTTTAGTCAGATTTAAGGCTTGGTAAATTTATGTCAAATTGATTTAGCATATTCTTCCTTACATGGCAAAAAAGAATCCATTGAATGTAAAGTACATTTCTGAGTAGGCAGATATTAGATTGCTTTATAAAATGCATTCTACATTCTTAAAAGCAGAAGCTTTGGGTTCCTAACTATTGATATATAGAACAAGGCTTTTCAACCTTTTCACCCATTGTACCACTTTTAGGATATGGCAACATCCAAGTACCACCAGTTGCCTAGCAAGGTGTCAAAAACTTATGACCAAAAAAAAAAAAAAAATAAAGTGATAAAGTACAGATAGTCCTCGACTTACAACAGTTCATTTAGTGACTGTTCAAAGTTACAATGGCACTGAAAAAAGTGCCCCCCAAGGCACAGCCGAGCAAGACACCTGCCTGCGGTGCTCTTCCTCCTGTCTGAGTTTTTCATTGTTGTGAGCATTTCTGTTGAGGATTGGTAGCTGGGGTGGGGTGGGGGGTGTTTGGTTTTTATTCCCCCCCCATCTGCTGGGTGGTTGCAGCAGGTTTTGGTCACTTCACATGACCCTGGGACACTGTGACTGTCATAAATATGAATCAGTTGCCAAGCATTTGAATGTAAATCACAAGACCCGGGAGATGCTGCAACATTCCAGCTGATCCTAGTGCTTCTTCTGGGCTCAGCAGAAGCACCAGGATCAGCGCCAAGCTCCAGCTGGAGCCTGGTGCTGATCCTGGTGCTTCCACTGAGCCCTGACAGCCCTGCAGCTCCAGCCGTCTCGCTCAGGCTTGTGTGGTGCTGCCACTGGTTCAGCTCATTCCCCTCCCCCGCTACCAGTTTTCTAGGATGGTTACGTACCACCTGCCAGGTGCCAATGTACCACAGGTGGTACCCGTACCACTGGTTAAAAAGCCCTGATATAGAAGGTAAGATACATGATGATTATCACTCCTTATTTGTTTGGATTCAGTTTGGTTCTTAAAAAAAGAAAGAAATTCTGGATGATAGGACATATTTACTTCTTACATTTATCTGAGATAAATTTATTTATATTAAAGCATTTATAGGGATACATTCTGTCTGTCCCTCACCCCATCTCAAAATCTGGGAATCATAATGTTGAATATGATGAGTACAGGAATATCTGCAGGATTGATCAGTGATATGAAAGTGTGGATATGCCCAAGTGTTTGATTTCCTGCTACTTTTTGTAACCATCAAAAATGAGCAGAACTTTGATCACCTAGTCATAACTACCATTTTTATGACATTAACCTCTTCCCCCTTGTACCTCTTGTGATCTGAGTTCTTGCTCTCTCTCCTTTTCCTTTGCCCCTTTTCAATCAAACCTCAAACTTTTTTCCTTGACATCCTGGAAAGCCAAAAATACTATTTTGTTTCTTTTTGGTTAATCTTATTAAAAGCATTGTCCAAGAGGTATTTCACTCCAATGCCAACATTTTACAAGTGCAAAAAACCCAGTTTTAAAAATGGTTATGATTATTATCATCATCCCTAAATAATGTGGTACTTTGACCTTCCCTTTGTATGGCAAAGGTAGATCTTTGTCACCCAGGGTGAAACTAAATCTTTCTTTCAGAATCTATTAGTCTAATTACAGAAGCATTCCTAGTTTGTTTTAAAGATTGACTTGAGCTACTTACTATTCTAGATTTCACTTTTTCTAGTCTGCTGGTTTTATGGAAGGTCTTAAATGGGGGCCGAACACCTGAAACTTTTGCAGTAACAGGGACTTTGCATTGAATAGAAATGCCACACAAATTGGACAGGAAATTCCAGAAGAAGTGGATAGTCAGTTCATAATTCATAATGAAAGTGAATTGATTTTCTGAAAATATCCTCAAGCAGAATCTTTTTATCCCTTCATGATACTAGGTTGCAGCCTGGGCTGGATCCTCCTGGTTCTCCAGGCGCAGGTAAAGGATGCCCTTCCTCTCCTAAATGCTTGGGCCTGGGGGCTACCCACAAAAGGCCCTCTGTGAATATCTTAACATATGGGCAGCAAAGATCAATTTATAATGGAAGCAACAGAGCCTTACTTCTGAGTTCCTCCTGAAATCTTATACCATTTCTCAAATCAAAAGGCAGTCATTGTTTCACAACAGCCTGTATTTTGAGATTGGCAGAGAGGTGCCGGTGGGATTTGATTTGGCTAAGGCTTGTTTTTCCTCCTGCCCCATTCTTCTTCATTCCTTCTGGGAAAATCAGATTCTTTCCTTTCAGAGCCTGTATTGGACTGGAGCTGGAATTAATTACTGATGGAACTACTGTATTTCCTTGTAGCCCCCACGCCATCCCAGATCGTCTGAGAATCAGAGTGAATAGGATTAGCTTGCAAGATTACGAGGGACTGCATTATGACAAGGAAAAACTCCGGGAAGTTTGTAAGTTTTTTAAAAAATAGTGTGTGTTTTCTGTGAGTTACCTCTGGGTATGATACATTTCATTCTGCAATATTTTCTGTGTCCAATTGCCAGGAGGGCTGGTTTTTCTTTCATGCTTCATAGAAGCCAAGTCATTGTAAAAGTTGACTTCAAACAAAGTTTTGCAGGAGATAAATGTTGGGGAGTTATTTTTGTCTATTTGTACCAATGTCACTTTTTAAAACAGGTCATTATTTTGAGAGACATAAAAAGGATTTTGCCATAAATTTCATTGGAAACCTTTTGGAACCTTCTATACTCACTATGGTTTGCAGAGCCTGGGAGATTTCCATTACATGAAATGGGGCTCCCATTTATTCCTTTTTTAAACAGAAATTCATCAGCCTCTGCATATGAAGAGAGGTCATACAAATGAATGTTGTATATAAATAGCAATCATTTATTTTGCAACAATAAAACTACACTGGGGAAATAACATTTTTTAAAAGCCCATCCTGTAGAAATGTATTTGCAGAACAATTGAAAGCAGTCATTCTTATTTTACAAAGTTATTTTTCTAGCTATCAAGAGTACAATTTTCATTTAAAGTTTTCAATCTTATGATTTCACAAGACAATAGATGTCTTCAGGCGTTATGCCTGAACAGGAGATTCTGAACAGCATGACAGACAATCTGCTATATTTTTTTTCTTTTCTAACTTTTCCAATACCAAGAAGATTTGAAACTGGCATTAAGTCAAGTTTGAATCCTGGTGACTTCCAGGACATTTGTATAGTTTTTTTCTACAGCAGGGTTTGCCTTCTATTTTTTTTAATAAAAATATCTTTACAGTACAAGCATTGCTATTCTTCGGTCATCTAAGTGAACTGATTCATTTTAAATGAAGAATTAAATGAATTCCTCAAATATAAAGTTTCAAGTTCTGGGAATGACTAACTATGCTGTGGCAGAATGAAAGTAGTGTTATTAAATGTAGTCCTATTCTTTGTATTTTCTGTTAATATAAGCCATTATAAATACTGGAATAAACAAAAAAGCAGGACATAAATTCAATAATCAATAAATACTTATATACATAAATGCAACAAGTACCACTTAAATGAACATTGCTAACCAGGGATTACAGTGTATGGTGGTTACTGTCATGTAGTTATGTCTATCCCTATACACAAATGATTGAGAAAACAAGGAAGAAACAGATATACATAGTTCTTTCCTTCAAAGGGCAGAATGTCATTGGAAAGATTTAAAAATAGATTGCCTACCTTTTGGGGTTGATATTAATCTTCTCTGAAACTGTGCACGATAAGTTGTCAGTTATACAAGGGAGAAAATAAATTTAGGTGAGACCACAATAGAATGAGAGTGTAAATTTATTTACACTGTTTTGGGATAATCTAAGTTAGTATTGGAGTATTTATTGTGCATCATGGAGAGATATCTGCAGAAAGAAATCTTAATGGGTTCATTGCAATATTTTGAAGACATTAATAAAATCGCTTATTCTTAAACTATTGTCCATGTTCTGATTTCAATAGTTTATTGTTAATTTAGACTGGAAAGTTTGAAAGATGGATATTAAAAAGAAATCTTCCACCTTTGGGAAACTGATCTTATCTCTCTGGTGCGAAAGTCAAGTATCCTCAATGAACTTAGCTGAGCAGTTTTGAACTGAGGAGAGCAAACTGTATGAGTTTCAAATTTACATGTTTTTCATGTAAGAAGAGCTTCACAGCCAAACTCTAACCTGTGGTTATATTTCTCTGTGATTGGATGAAAGTAATCATCTTATTCATAACCCCTATGTTAAACTTGGTTCAAACAACACAGAGCTCAATAACCATAGCTGAGGATGAGAGATGACGAGTATAGTTAATAAAAACAGAAACAAAAACTTGGTTGCATTGGAAAGGGGGGAAGGATGATAGATCATGGGAGAAGTTTGAAAGTAGCTCACACCTATCACAATAAAATGTGACAGGGATGATCTTCCAATTGGCTCACTGTAATGGAGGCAGTATTCTTCAAGAAGGACACCAAGTTAAAGAAATGTATAAACTCTTCTGTTGCTGTGCCAGAGCTTTTACCATCTTGCCCACAGGCAAATGACTTTCCTCCAGGGAAACATCTGCCTAACATACTTATCATTCCCCCCCCCAGCCCCCAACAGGCTGCAGAACGGTGTTATTATAATTTAAACAAAATTTACACTTCCCAGAAATCCTAGCAATTATCTTTATAAAGAATGTTCTGCAAAGCTGTGATGAAACCTTTCATTTGCTGAGTGACAATCAGCATCAGGAGCTGAAACAAGTGCTCTTGGTGGAATCTATATTCTCCCTGAAGATTACAGAAATCAGTTCTGTGGAAATAAGCAATGGATAAAGATATGAGTATGTTGGGGAACAGAATGCTGCCTACCCAGAATAACCATCTTTTTGCTCTAAGATAAGCAAACCAATTAAAAAGTTTGTCATCCCATAATTCCTAGGGAACCCCATGTTCTGCAGCATGGTTACATAAGAAACAGTTGTCTTTGTAACTGAATATGAATAATGAGCCAGATGGATGAACAAGACTCCATTTAACCCTTATCTCCAGGAGCCATATCCTGCATTGATTAATGACTCAGTGTGTGTCACTGGGAAAGAAACTTCGTTTTGAAAAGTTAGCATTGACTGTGTTGCAGGCTCAGCTAACCTCTTCTTTTGATTTTACACCATTAATTCAACGTGACAATTAATTATTGTGGTATTATCTCTAGAATTATGTTTTGTTTTTGATTCTTTGTTTCCTCAGTTGAGATGGTGAGGAGTTTCAGGCAGATATGTTTTATCCATTATCCCGTGAGATTAATGGGAAAACTTTTCAACAACTGCAGAATATTAGCATTAGGCCATTAATATTGTAAGAAATTCACGTGTGCAGATGAGATGAAACTGTAGTTCAATAGTCTGCCCAGCCATACAATCTAGATAGACATTACAAGGGAGACATGATCCATAAGGACAATTTGTAAATCTATTGGCTTCCAGATATATTAAGATGATAACTTCCAGAATTCCAAATCACTACATAGTTTGACAATAACTAATCCATTCTCTAAAAATATTGTCTGCCTTTTCATTTTTAATGCTACACTTGCAATAAATGGTGATGCAAATCCTGCCCTCAACCACTGGGTCCCAAACTACAGTATTTGGGTCATGATGTCATGACATGCAGTATGCTTTGTCATTGGATCCCGGATTCCCTTCTACAGATGCCCATGACTATATTGTTTCATCATTTTATTCTGTTCCAAAAGTCCCCGTGCATTGCTCATAGTGGAGGCTTATCTATCAATCTTTCCATTACCTAATAATTCCCAACTTATATTTCTTTTTCTTGCCATCTGCAGTTCTCCTCTGACAGGAAGTATGTTCAGCCAAACTCAGAGTGTAGCTAATGGGGGCAGTGTTAGCATTAAATTAATTGTTTCCAGAATCAGTCTCCAATTGGGAACATCAATGTACACTATCTCTAAAGCACGGGTGTCAATCTCGTTGCGTCACGTGACGTGTCACTATGTATCATGACTTTTTTTGCATTGCCAGAACTGGGGTGGGCATGGCCTCCACATGATGCAACCGCCCCACAGGCCAGCAGTTTGACACCCCTGCTCTAAAGCATTAACCAGCTAAAGTCTCTTGATGATAGGAAGGCCAAAAGCATGGGTCTAACCTTAAGATGATGGCCTTTTGTATGGTATTTTTCTACTCCTGTCAACATTATTTTGTTGAAATGGAATGGTTGCTCTGTTTCAGCATAATGTTCTCCTAGATTTCTCAATGAGAATATACTCTAAAATTGATACTTTTTAATACAAACAATATAAGCAAAACTCATTAGAGTTTATGGATAAGACACATTCTTTATCTTTTGTAGATTTACGTTCAGGCTTTCTGGCAAATGAATAAATGTCTTCATCATTATTCCGTTTATACTCATGTGTAGTTTCTGTGACATGTCAAGGGATTTGCCTACAACACCAGGACATTGTTTAAGACCTGGTCAGAAAACCATGCTAGAGGGCCACTTTGAGGAGAAAATTAGTCACAAATTCCTTTTGCAAATGATGGATGGCAAGATTGTATTGGGGGAGGGGAAGACTCCTTCCGTAGTTACACTATTTCACTTCTGAGACAGCACATGGGGGCCTAGGTGATTTTTCTCTCATGGGGAACTTTGAGGGTTTATTGTTAATTTTAGTTTGGCATCTAACAGGAGAGGTGCATCTTTACTTATGCCTCTGCAATTCCACTCTGCTGAAATTAAATACCATTAAGTATAATTGACTAAGTCTTGACAGGCTACATATATTCTAATAACATTTTTAAGATGAGCAGTAATTACATAGTTTCTTCATCTCAGCAGGTGGTGGCACCTGGCTGATCTTGTCTGGGTTCAGAAATTAAATTGGGTTGGGGCTGATGAGTATTCAGGGAATGATGGGGCTCTAGACCAGTGGTAGTCAACCTGGTCCCTACCGCCCACTAGTGGGCGTTCCAGCTTTTTTGGTGGGTGGTAGGGGTTCAATCGAGCTGTTTAAATTTTTGGATCCATTGAGCCCTCCGATCGGCTCACAGAGCTTTCCAGCAGGCGTGGGGTGTTAGCCTCAGCTGTGCGACCCCCCACGGAGCTCTCGGAGGCCAGAGAGCCTTGCTGAAGTGCGCCATCATTGCGAGGCTCCCGTCAACTTTCTCGACGATCCGGATCGCAGCAGAGGCTGCGCAATGAGATAAAACTGCAAGTGCCTCATTTTCGGCTTCGGGGGGGTGGGGGGAATTAAAGGCACAACGAACAACAAGCTTCCTCTTAGAGCCCCTCATGGCTGGGAAAGCCCAGCCGAAATACAAGCGGCCGCTAATTTTGGTGCGGCCGCCATTTTGAGAGCCGCACAGAGCCCTCAGTCATAGAGATTTCAGGCATCTCTGACAAAAACCAGGCTCTCTCTTCATCCTGCTGTGACAGGCACGGATCGGGGACAAACCAGACTCCACTGGGCATTCCCTCAATACCAGGGTAGAGGCCATAAAGGCTTTCTCTTCATTCCTGCTTGCCCAGGACTTAAATTGGACATGGAAAAACGATTTGAAGATATTTTGAAATTGAAGGTGTATGACTGGATGAAAAATCCTTTTACCGCAAATATTGAAGAGGCTGATATAACTTGCCAAGAAGAACTGTTAGAAATTAGATATGATGAAGAAAGTAAACATAAATTTGAAAGTGGTGGATATGAAAACCTATGGCAAAGTAAAAAAAATGCCTGCCTTATATCCAAATATGTGGAAAATGATATTCAGTTTATTGATACCTTTCCCTACCTCATATCTTGTGGAATCAGGCTTTAGTGCTGTTAATCATATTATGACCAAAGAAAGAAACTGCCTGAATATTTCCGAAAGAGGAGACCTTCGTTTGTTCCTTACAAAAATTGAGCCAGATATCCAGTATTTAGTTTCGCAGCATCAGCCTCAGGGATCTCATTAATAATTTAATTAATTAAATGTAATTTCATCAGACTTCCTGTTTCTACAGTGGGGCAAAAAAGTATTTAGTCAGCTACCAATTGTGCAAGTTCTCCCACTTAAAAAGATGAGAGAGGCCTGTAATTGTCATCATAGGTAGACCTCAACTATGAGAGACAAAACGAGAAAACAAATCCAGACAATCACATTGTCTGATTTGGAAAGAATTTATTTGCAAATTATGGTGGAAAATAAGTATGTGGTCACCTGCAAACAAGCAAGATTTCTGGCTCTCACAGACCTGTAACTTCTTCTTTAAGAGGCTCCTCTGTCCTCCACTCATTATCTGTATTAATGGCACCTGTTTGAACTTGTTATCAGTATAAAAGACACCTGTCCACAACCTCAGCCATACTCCAAACTCCACTATGGTGAAGACCAAAGAGCTGTCAAAGGACACCAGAAACAAAATTGTAGACCTGCACCAGGCTGGGAAGACTGAATCTGCAATAGGCAAGCAGCTTGGTGTGAAGAAATCAACTGTGGGAGCAATAATTAGAAAATGGAAGACATACAAGACCACTGATAATCTCCCTCAATCTGAGGCTCCACGCAAGATCTCACCCCGTGGGGTCAACATGATCACAAGAACGGTGAGCAAAAATCCCAGAACCACACAGGGGGACCTAGTGAATGACCTGCAGAGAGCTGGGACCAACGTAACAAAGGCAACCATCAGTAACACACTACGCTGCCAGGGACTCAGATCCTGCAGTGCCAGAAGTGTCCCCCTGCTTAAGCGAGTACATGTCCGGGCCTGTCTGAAGTTTGCTAGAGAGCATTTGGATGATCCAGAAGAGGATTGGGAGAATGTCATATGGTCAGATGAAACCAAAGTAGAACTGTTTGGTAGAAACACAACTCGTCGTTATTATATGCTTTAACTTGCTATAACTCTGCTTTATAAATTTTATAAAGTAAAGTTATTTCCCTACTTTATAAATCACCATTACTGTGGAACCGGTGGGCGGTTAGAAAATTTTACTACTAACAGAGATACAAAAGTGGGCGGTAGGTATAAAAAGGTTGACTACCCCTGCTCTAGACTAAACTGGGAAGTTGAAAGATAACAATCTCCTTCTGTATTGCGATCTAGAAAACAACATAAATTGTCCATGAGTCCTCAAGAATAAAATACAGCTTGAAGGATACTTTTCTATATTCCCTTCAGATCTTATATACTGTATACGTAAAGCCCAATTTTTTTGGCTACACATTTTAACATTATTAATTCTTATTGTTATAATCATTATGCCTATAGCTATTCCATTGGGAATTATAGTTGTCCGAGGAGATTGTGACTTGGAGACTTGTCGCATCTATGTGGATCGCTTAGAAGAGGTGAGTAAATGGCTGTCTCAAGAATATATTAGTCTTGTATAAGGATATCCATGTATTTCATTTGGACCAAAATGTGCCAAAGGACAGATCAAAAGCAAAGAAAGTTCACCAAACCATTATATCTGAAGGTCAAGCAACTCAAGATTGCTAACTCCTAACCTACCTCTATTTCATGAGTTAAGATTACTGTATCTGCCACAATTGCTAGCATACTAATCACTGCAGGCATGCTGATTGTTTCTTCTTCTGCATTTGCTGCAGTCCACTTTCAGCACAGTGCCAAAAAGTTGAAAGTGCAATATCAATAGCACTTAGACTTATACACTGCTTCATAGTGCTTTATAGCATTCTGATGTCATCATATTGTCCTCAACAATCTGGATCCTCATTTTACTAACCTTAGAAGGATGGAAGGCTGAGTTAACTCTGAACCAGTCAAATTGAACTCCTGGCAGTAGGCAAAGTTTGCTTGCAATACTGCATTCTAATCACTGCACCACCATGGCTCTAACATATATCAATTGGGGAACTGCAGCACATTTTACCATATTGCAATTTTCAAGCTCTACCTTGGCTTCCCAAGCCTGGTTTATCTGCCCTTAGTCCTAATCTCATCTAATCTTCACTTGTTTTGAACAAGTGAAATCTGACATTTCACAAGTTCAAAACAGAAGTTGGAACAATGAAAAATAGAATTACTATATTCTGTATACCCTGATTCCATTTTTGAGGTGTGAAAATGTGGAGAACAGAAATATGTACTCACTTTAAATAAAATATCAGGACTCTTTCTGGTTAGATGTTTGGGGCAATTAGGATAAAGGCATAAAAGGCATTGAGAAAACATAGTGCTAATTGATAGGACAAGCAATGTTTAGCGGAATGGTTGTTGCTGGAAAGTATTGAAAATATAACATAGAATAATAGAGTTGGAAGGGACCTTGAAGGTCTTCTAGTCCAACACCCTGCTTCAGTAGGGGGCTTTGTATCATGTCAGACAAATAATTGTCCAGTCTCTTTTTGAAAGCCTCCAGTGATGGAGCACCCACAACTTTTGAAGGCAAGCTATTCCAATGGTTAATTGCTCTCACTGTTAGGAAAATTTTCCTTAGTTCTAGGTTACTTCTCTTCTTGGTTAGTTTCCAACCATTGCTTCTTATCCTTTTTTTGGTCCTTTGGAAATTAATTTGACCCCCTCATCTTTGTAGGAGCCCCTCAAATATTGAAACAGTGCTATCATGTTCCCCTAGGATGGTCAGCCTTTTCTGTTAAACAGATCTTAAAAATCTGGACACAGTGGCATGGCATTAAAAATCCTTGAGCGTATGGTTGCCAAAAACAGTCCTTAATAATGTCCAAATAGTTACCAAGATTATAGCAATCTTTGGTGGTTCAATTTTTAAGACTGAACCAACAAAGAGTTGGCCTCTAGGAAAAAAGAAGTTTGCATTGCCTCTTCAAAATGAAAGAAAGTCTGGTCTTCTTTTTTTTAAGTTATAAGCACTTGAAGGAGTTTGGAAGTAAATTTCAAACCCCAGCGTGACATTTAGGACTCAAAAACGGAAATTTGAAATGATTTCTTTTTAGATAGACGTGACTTGTCAAGACTTCACTTTCCATGCCCCATTAAGTTCATTTCTCATTTTGTGATTCTAGAAAGCTTGGCACTAAGTGTATGGATGGATGATGGATGGTTTCATCTTTTGTTTTCCACTGTTCAGAGCTCTTGCTAGAGAAGTTTTTTTCTTTCATCCCCTTTCCCTGTTTCTCCCCAGTTCCCACATTTCACACAACATAGCTTGGATATATTGGCAACCTTCTTCTGAAGCCCTTTCTAGTCAGGGTTTTGAACTGTCTTCATCCCCTGCAGTGACAGGATAGAGTGAAGGAACAGAAACACAAGATGTCTGGCTGTCAGATTCTCCCCATTCCTTCTGTAGTACTGTGATTGACAAATAACTTTCTCATGAGTAAAGATGTGCTGATAGAGCGGACACCCAAATTGAAGGAATCAACCCATTATGTTTTTAAATGCATAATAGAACACCATCCATCAGTGACCTGGAGCAGATGCAATCGAGGCAGGATAAGGATCAGCAATGAAGGCAGTAAATACCATGATGGCATAGTTTTCTCCCTACTCAAGATTGGCTAGCTACTTAATTCAGAACTTTTCTCAGTTACTCTTACTGGGAAAAGACAGTAACTGCCATGTATAAAGTGTGTATTTCCTTAATCCCTGAGTGACAATTATTTGCTTCTGCCTAGGGCCCTAGGAAAAGATGAAAAGGCAGAAGATATAATCACCAGATAGTGAAACATTCTAAATCACCTTATACAAAAATCAAATACTGTTGTTGGTTCCTAGGTAATGGTTTTGGGACAACTGGAAAATATCAAGCCATTTTAGATTAAATTATTTGCAAGTTATCACTTGGCAGCAAAATCTTTGAATAGTATTAATATCAGATTTATTTTGACTTTCTTAAAGCTTATTTGGTAGATTATCTCTTCCTCTTCCTCCTCCCTCATGTGTGATTATTTTGTATTGTTATTATTGCTGTTGTAATAGCCAGAAAAAAATGTTTGATGAACAACTTAGCAGCAAAGTTTTGCATAGGAAAAAGGATGAAATGAGCCTTAGTTAATCATTGTTTCCATTGGGACTTTCTTGTCATAGGATTTGCAGTCTGTATCTTCAACAACACACAGAGTCCACTACCAGGTAAAATTTTGTTCCTTTCATGGAAAAAAGGAAGGGAGGGAGGGAAGGAAGGAGGGAGGGAGGACTTGCTCAGACTGAATTGTTTAAGGACTTATTCAGGTTCAGATATTTTAAATAACATTATTTTCCCTTGAAAGCATTTTGCAGGATTTCATAATAAACTATCCTGGATATTCTTGCTGAATTGTATATAATTTTTCCCGTGCTGCAATAATCAATGCATGAATTACCATGAGCAGGGTCTCTTGGGCCAGGAATGGGCATAGTTGGTAAACAAGATACAATTGTGCAAAAGTTTGAGTTGGCATTTGAATCAGATTTTGCTTTATTCTCACAGACTTAATTCTTATTATATGCAACTTCTTGCTTTCCAGTAGGCCTTTATCGTCAACATTAATCAGTCTCAGTCTCTGTGGTCAATGTTTAGGCTTGATGGCAGCTATATAATCCAATATCTGGAGATCTTCAGCTTTGCCTCTTTGCCAATTCTATCTCTGCATAGATACTTAAAAGGGAAAAAGTAAAGTCTAGCGTCTTAAAAAGATACGTTGTAATGAGAACAGGATCTATGCATTCTTTTCAGTTTTCAGAATGGGGACCCTAATGGGGAACAGTGCCTCAATATTCACAGGCATTCATGGTATTTCTCCTTCAAAATATGTGACCAAGCCCTTTGCCCTACCCTAGTTACTATAATTATTTCTTCTGATTTCTTAAAAATTATAGCATCACATTCAAAATTCTTGATCTTGAAGAAGGATGCTATTATAGATGGGGAATTGTTTGTCGGGTTTGTGGCTAAGCACAATGCAAAGAAATATCAAATGTTTGTTATATAACATTTCCAGATCAATGCCTAAGATTCCCCACAGTAGTTTTTGTTTGCATTCACAATTTAAATGATTATTTTTGAACATTGTCTGCACAGCAGGCATGCTAAATATTACCTCAACTAATGCTCTGAGTTGCATTTTTATCTGGTTTGGCCTAAAGGGCTGTTCTCTTATTATCACTTCATGAACTTTCTGTCTATATCATGCTCTGTTGTGCATTTTCAAATACACACATATTCACTCCTGCAAGAGAATTTGAAAAAGTCTACAAAGAAGAGAGTGCCTGAGTTGTTATAAAAAGGTCTTTTTTCCTTACTTTAGTGGAACTTATTCAGTGGACTAAGGGCTCCTGTTGTCAATGTCAGCTTTCTTCAGTCTTTTTAAAGCATTATATTCCAAAAGATCAATAATATCTGAAATAGTTCAGCCTCTCACTAGAGTATTTTAGTCTATAAAATAAATGTATCAAAATTATATAACAACTTTGTGCAGTGTGATCCTTTATAGATGCACTTAGGCAACAAGTCTCATGATTCACACTCCAGTACCAACACATCTAAAGCATACTAACTTCAGGAATATTGATTTACAATGCAATTTTGATTAGGCAACCTTGGTTCATCCAAATTGCTTCATATATAAAGAAACTGGCACATTCCTATTGAGCATCCCTTTGTGAATCACTAAGTTATGTCACATGTAACCTCCATCTGTTGTCTCATCCTAAATGAAATCCTATAACAGTCAAGTCACACTATACATCTACAGCTTACAGAAGTTTATGCCTTTTAACCAAATTTATTAGCTGGAAAAGATACTACCAGACTTCTGATTTTTTTTTTTTTTGGGGTTGTCATAGACTAACATGCCTCTCTTCCTATAATGAATGACTTTGCTAATCTACAATAGCCACTTCAGCCTTTTGCATACAATTCACACTTTTGACATTTCATTTGGGATGAAAGTTGTTTTTGTGCTTCATTGTTTTGTTTGGATTTTGAAGATAAGGATGTTTCTCTGGAATTCTTTGCCACTGAGTGTCTTGCTAAGGTTAATCTCAGGGAAGGAGAGTGTTAAGATGTCTGGAAACTCAGTAAGACAAGGAGGCTCAGAAAGAATTAGAAATATTTAGTTTTCAGTGAAGACAGTTGAGAAGGGATGTGATGGCATTTTCACATTTTTAAGGAGGATCACCTGTTTTCTCTCATCCTAGAATGGAGGATGCAGGCTGATTCTATATAGCACGGGTGTCAAACTTGATTGCGTCATGTGACATATTGTGACATATCGTGACTTTTTTGCCTTTGCAGATCTGGGGTGGACATGGCCTGCGTGTGACGCATCTGGACCATGGCTGCCAGTTTGACACCCCTGTTCTAGAGTATAAAAAGCAGTTTAATGTTAAGGCAGAGATGCTTGTTGGTTACACTAATTACCAAAATGTATATGACCTCTATTTCACTGTATATTTTCAAGCAATAGCTGGACAGCCATCTTTTAATGTTTTAATCTGGATTCCTGCACCAATCAGGGGTTAAACCTGATTGTCTATATGTCGCCCTCCACATCTATGATTCCACAGCTTTGGTAGATTCCATTTGAGAAAGGGATATAGAATTTTGCAATAGCAATAGTTTCTACCAAAGCAACATAAAGACTTTTTTGTTTATGAAACTACCATATCTTTAAGTCTCTGTAATTGGTATCTGAAGCATAACTTACATTCTATCAGGTGTAATAAAGGGAATGTTATTGGATAATGTAAATCAAGCTCAATGATAGAAGCTAAGAAAAGGAATCTTAGTGTCCCTACTGAGACAAAAGGGAAGTTATTAAAGACCAACATACCAAGCTAATGAGCATCAGTGTGCTTATTTGAAATTTGAGATAAAGAATTTAAGTTGAGGAACATCTAACTCATGTCATAATTTGGCTCTGAAATTGGCTGAAGAAAAAAATATGGGTTTACTGTATATCAGGAATACCAGGCTGTGCCAGGGACATAGTCATTTATGGAGTCTTATCACAATCCATATGGTATTTGCTATTCGGTGCCATATTTCTGGCCATGGTCCTTTCTGCACATCCAACTTGCTGCTATTAAATGAGTTGAAATTTATAATGAACTGCAAACCATAGCCATATAGACTAATGCTCTATCTTTTGTATAAGTATCTCAGTGCAGTTTCTAGAAGACAGATATTAAAATTAAACATTTATATTGTTTTGCCCCGAGAATATGTGATGGAATGATTGAAAACAAGCAATGTGATTTTTTTAAAGGACTAATTGGCCATAAAATGACATTTCATAGCTCTTATGCTATTTTTCTCTTGTGAATTGATAGTTGAATCAGTCACAATCTTTTCTCTTTAAACAGACTTTTTTCTAAAAGTGAGGCAGGACTTGCTGATATTTGCTCAGTAATATGGCAAACACAATAGGTTGTCCAAGTAACCAAGCAGCCATCCATCATGGCATGGCGTGTTTGATAGATTTCCACCCTTTGATAAAACTGAGTATAGTTGCCTTGCAGCTTTGAATCAAATGGGAAATCAAATCAATACTTGGATAAGTCAGTGATTGCACAGGGCAGCTGGTTATCAGAAGCCACCCTGAGTGAGTTCAGGGATGCCTGTCTATCATTTTTGGTCATACTTGACTGAATATATATAAACTGATAGAAAAGTTCTTTCCTGAGTAATGTTGAAAATTGCTATTATTCCCCTTGGCTCAGTACTGTATGGATCCCCAGAATTTCAGATAAGAGTCCTTATCAATCTTTCTTGGAAAGGTTAATAACTAGATCTAGGAAGAGCTTTGCCTTACTAAAGCTATAGTACGAGCTGTGATATTGTTCTGTTCACTGTTGCTTTAATGAAACTGCTATTGAAAATGGCCTTTTCTTTCTGTCCCATCCAGGACCAGGAAAGTTCATTCCCAAGAGTATTGTCTGTTCAGAAACTATCCCCTAGATGGTGCTTCCTAGATGGTAAGAATCAAAGTTGGCTCCCATAACCTTAGAAGAAAATGGCAGACTGTACATTTCTTTATATACTTACCCAGAAATAATTTTTGTTTTATTCAGGAATATTTGCTCTCACACATTTGTTGAAGATTGTTTCAAAAACAAGAGTTTCAAATAGATACAGAATCTTAAAGATTTTATATATTGTTATTTGCTTAAAATCAGGGGCTACGTGTGATTGATATGGTGAAGGTATCTACAATGGGTTCGTCCTCATATAATCTTTCCTGCAACACAAAGATGTTTTTATAAGCATTTCTGAGGGACCTGTTCTCATGACATAATCTCAATCTCATCTGTAATCAGTTGATGAGGCAACTTAGAGCAGTCTTTAGTTGTTCCAGTTTGGAATTGGCCTTCTCCTTTTTCTCCCAGAACAAAACATTCAACGTGGACAATCAAGAACATCTCAAGGAATGATTTGGCCAGGGGTAATGATCTTCTCAACTCCAATTGACTCATTAGGTTTACAGAAATGTATCCACCCTGCCCATTTAGAGGGCAATAATCTTCTGTCGGCATTTGGGTCATTTGTGAGACAGAGTGGACATCTCTTTTTCTCTTCAATCTTGAATATTGAATCCAGGAGATCTGTCAGCCACCTGTACATCTGTCAGCCAAGAACCCTACAGTTTGTTTTTTGTGTATATGTGTGTTTGTGTGTCATAAAGGTCATAAAGTAGAGAAAACACTTCACACATAGACCAAAACAAAAGTGGAATGAAGGATGGTGGATAAAGGCTCTTTGTCTAGTCAAAAATAATTTTGGTGGAAAATTAGTCTTAGGATGGATAAAGGAAAAAAAGATCTTGAGTCACAATAGTGTTGCCATAGTATAGCACAAGAATATATCATAACTGCAATTCAGGATTGTTTTGCTTTTTATTCCTAATCACTTAGGCAGACTTTTGGGAGATGGGGTCTTGACATTGGTACTTATTTTGCTGACAGTTCTGTCAGTCTTCCAGAACAGCAATAGCTGTAGAGGTAGTTTGAATATCCTCCAGTTAGAAGCAACCCCAGTAGATTGACTGCCCTGCCAGAAGAAGCATCCATTGAATAATAAAAATAAAATAAATAAAATGATTTTTTAAAAAATAAAAGTTAATGCTTGTACCCCAGCCCTATCAAGTATGGGTTCAGGAGAGTGATGGGTGATAGTTTCAAAATAGAATCCAAATTTATAATTGTTTATAGCTTATAGTTCTTGGTTCCATAAAGTATGACCATCATTGGACTGTATTAAACTGTATGTGTTTTTCACGATATGTCGCATGGGTAAAATTTTAACCTATAGAGACTGACCACATGAACATTTTTATGGTGGTTTCCAAGAATAAATTTAGAGTGGTGGTTGTTTATTTTTAAGATCATTGTTCAGCTTTGGAAATGTAGCAAGTTTGAAATGTTTTATTCAGAAATACTCCTTCAAATAAATGCAGAACTCTTTTTATTGACCATACCTTCATCAAGATCAAATAATACAATATAGCCTCCAAGCATTCAGATAAACTTTTGATCTCTCTTTCTCTGCTCCCCTCCCTTTTGGTACCAATCCAGTATTGTGGGATGATAGCTTGTTTTAGAGCTGTTGGAAGGCGCTCTCTTCTTTTTTTTTACCTGAAAAAATATGCTACCTTAAATTTCATGCATCCAAATGAGATCTGTGTTGCATTGTGGTCCATATAGGTTTAATATGCAACTTTCTGAGGATATTGATTGCAGCCCTACCCAATGCCATCCAGCAAATCAAATGGGCATGCACAAAGCTCTGATAACTGTATGCATATTTCTTTTTTTCCCAATTATTGTCAACCAATTGAACTTTTTTTTAAAATTCCCTAAAACTAAGGGTCAGCTGGCTGACTATTTGATCTATCAACCACTAGATGGGAGCCATCTTTTGGTTTTTAAATGTCTTGGTTCCCATCTAGTGATCATCAAAATTTGTTTAGCTGAGATGAAACCAATGCAAAAGTATTGTTGAAGAGCTGGAGAAAGGAATTTAGCTTTGGGAAGTACAAACTAAGAACCTAAGAACAGAAAGTCAGGAGCCCTGGAAGCAGCCAACTGGGAAGGGAATTCCTTGCCAGGCAGGCTTACAAAAAGCCAAATCTTTTCAATTTGTCAGCCCTTTGTGGGAGGCAAAGTCAAGAAACAAACAAAGAGCACTGGAACTCTGCTGTGTTGTTGCAGAGCATAATAAAAGAATTTTGAAATCCTGTCAGAGATTTTTTCTGCCGCCCTGCTTCTTATACCAAAGAGAATCAAGGTAGGGCAATCTTGAGTTTCTTTCTCATTGTCTCCTCTTTCCAGGGCTAAGCTGGTGTTGACTTAATGCCTGTTGAATACTTTCTCCAAGGCCATCTCTGTATTCTTTGATACAGTTACACTTCCAATTACTTGCATGAAGCTAGCCATCTCATAATGCCAACCACTACCAAATTCATTTATGTTTAGACTTAGTCTGAGCAGAAAACCTCATGGCTGTTAACATCTGACTTAATTTTGGAATGTATTTCTAATTTCTTCCCATTCCCTTCCTTTTGTGCCATCGTGCTTAATGGAGAGGTCTGAAGAACAGAAAAGTTTCATGCTCTTTTGTCTCAGTTTCATTGATCCCAATTGAGGTATTGCTTAGCTGTGTAGTTTGGATATTTTTCCCTTTCTGATGGATCAAACACAGTTTTTCACATAATTCCTTCCTCATTTTTGCAGCAACCTCTGCTGACCGCTTTTACCGCATCGACAGATCTCAGGTACAGAGACGATGTTGCTTTCCTATTAACTTCTTTTTTTTATTGCACAGAATTGGGTTCACTGCTATAATAAGAAAATATGGGACTTGTCAAATGTGACTCTCCTCCTATTATATACTTGTCTCTAATTCTTCTCTCCAGAGATTTTCAAGGGCCCCTAAAATTGTCAAGTAAATAAAAATAAAATAAAATAGGCTTTTTTTTCAGTTAGAAAAAGAAAAATAAGTGCTTAGAGGTCCCGCATTCCACACAAAATTTCAGCTCTTCCCAGTTAGGGAGGATAGACTGGACAACCATTTGACTAGGATGGCATGAGCAGGGGATTGGACTAGAAGACCTTTGAGGTCCCATCCAGCCCTATGATTCTATCTTCTTCGTTTCTCTGAGTTTCTTCCCCTGTTCATTATGCAGCTATGATCCTCCACATTGATTAGTAGATTCTCTTCCTTCATCTCTCAAGGTCATTCCTATATGCCATGGTGCATACTTGTAGCATGTAAGACTGTTTCATGTAACCAGGTAGAAATGCAACAGATGCTTCAGGTGTATTTCCCATCATTATTTTGCTTTAATGATAAATTAAAATGATAGCATTGATTTACAAGTCTAATATCTGAAAATTAAACCAAACATATTAACACCACAATGTGATTAATATTAGTCAATATTTAAACATTAAATATTTAAAACAATTATTACATTAATTATTAATATTAACAGCACACATATAAAATTTGAGAAATTCCAAAGCATTGTCCTTACTGTGATTTTAATTTAGAGCATGTTTTGCCATGTAAATTAAACACCTTGTGAAAAATTGGCCCAAGGCACCCAAGGTCAAAGAAGATTTAAACCAAGAAGAATGAGCTTTGCTCTTTTTGCTTAAATCAGTTTGATGTTTAATAGCATAGATTCTTCTTTTTCTTTTTTTCCTTATCTTCATGAACTTGGGATAGCTACATTAAAAAGAAAATCTTAGAGTTTATCTTGGTGTCTACAGTTCCACAAAAATCCTAATCCTCTGTTTGTGAGATAAGGTGACTCTGGAAATTATGATAATGTTGGGCCTAAAGAAAATATTCACAAAGCTTAAAAACACATCAAATTAAAGTGACAGCATTTGTCAAAAACATACCATTTTATGTGTCGGTTGGACACTCTGGAAGTTTTACAAATATGGAAGTCACTCGGATTGGATTTGCTTTTATTGATTTGTATTTAATTCATTTAGTTTCTGTTCAGCTGTAAAGCAAAATTGTGCTAGTCCTTTGAGGCAATTTAAGAAAAGTTATATCAGAACAGCTCAGCTATTTTTACCTGGTCAGCTATTTCTACCTGCTGCAATTCAAAAAAAATTACATGGTACAATTCTAGGCATGCTTATTGGGAAGTAATTCCTACTGCATTCAGTGGAATTTGCATGAATGAATCTATATCTTTAGTAAGTTAGTATTGCATTTTCGAGAACAGGAAATGAATCTGAGAAATCAAGATTTATCTTAGCCATTGAGCAGATGGATTTCCTTTGATGATCTCCTAATCACTGGAGGTAACCCATTTACCAAGGATCTTCCTATATAAACATCCTGCTTGTGGTTGTCAGATGAAAATGATTGTCAAACTCACAGTGCTGAAAAAAAATACAGCTGTTCTCAGAAATACATGATATTTGGGGCATGAATGGTTGGCTGGCTGTAAGCAAGGGGTTGCCATGAGTAGGATTTTGATCATTCTCCATGCATTGACCCACAGTTCCTTGCTCCAGAAATGCCCTCAAGTGTGTTGGGACTACAGCTTTCAGAATAATTAGCCAGTATATCTGGTGCATTCTGGGGGTTGCTGTCATAACATTTGAGCTTCATCCATCTTGAGAAAGATGGATTTAGAAATTATATTAAGTTCCTAAATATATATTGCTGAATAAAATTGTGCTGTTGATTGCAATAAACAATAGATTTTTATTTTAATATCACTGTTGCAGGAACATTTGCACTTTGTGACAGAAATATCACAGGATGAGATTTTTATCCTGGATCCAGAATTGGGGGCATCTCAACCAGCTGGAACACCTCCAGGAATGCCTGATCTGGTGGTAGAGCAGGCTTCTGGGTAAGGCTGACTCTTGTGTTTCTTAATTTTTTAAAATTCTCTTCTTTTATTTTCATACACAATTTTCTATATCCTTAAAGATGGGTATCACATGGAAGTTTCTGTTCCTACATATTCTTTTTCTAAAGAACTTTTGCCCAATTTGATCCTTCTGTTTTTCAGGTGCTTTGAGCTGTAACTTCAAATTATCATTGGCTATGATGAATGGCACAAAGCAGCTGAAAGTCACTACATTGCCTACGTCATATCTATATTTATACCTTCAATGTCTGTTATCATTGCAGTGTGCAGTGGGAGGGTGACATCTTAATCTGTTCCTTTCCCTTCTGTATACAGTTTTTAATTGTGCTTCTGATATTGCTGGACTTCAATTCTCAGTGCCCCAAATATGGCCAATGATGAGGGATATTAAGCGTTACAATTTGTTAGCTTTTGAAGTGCTACTATTTTAGACCCACAAGAAGTCTTAATAGGTAGTCCCTGAATTATGACAACAATTGGAATTTCTATCACTAAATGATGCGGTCATAAAGTGTGATGCCCGTGATCTCATTGCTTAGTGATGGTGATCCCGGCAGTTCCAGGTTTATTTATGTATTAAATGTATATGCTGCCTATCTTGCTATCTAAACAGACCCTGGAAGGCCAGTTGCTGTTGTAATCCCAGAACTGCATGGATTGTTAAGTGGGAAGAGGTGTGAGTCCCAGGCAACTAGATTAATTGGTGAGAGCTTTGGGTGAGAGCTACTTGCAGGTAGATGGGTGTCATGAGGGATGCATGCATAAGTGCCACAGGCAAGCACTGGAGTTGCTCAAGTGGCATGATAGTGTGTGGGTTTTATGGACAGATGCTAGGGTCTTGGTGCCATAGGAGGGTCTGTTGGTTTTGCAGGCAGATTTTACAGAGCATAGGTGAGTGTGTAAGTGCCACCTGAGGATACAAGAATGGGATAGGCAGGCATTACTGAGCATGGGCAGGTGCGTAGTTGCTGTAAGTGGGTGTGCGGATGCTGCAAGCAGGTGTTACTGAGCAGGAGTGGCTATGCAGGTGTCGTTGGTAGAAACTAGGGAGTGCAGATGAATAGATGAAAGAATGACAGGAGCATGAGTGACTTATGACTTCCTGCCAGCTTCCCCATCGACTTTGTGGGAACCAACGGGAAATGTCAGAAGTCATGATGATAGGACTTGGGAGGGCACTGCAATAGCTGGAACTCCAAGGATCACACATGCCCCTTGTTCAGCACCATTGTAACCTGGAATGGTTGCTGAATGAGTAGTTGTAGCTTGAGAACTATCAGCATGGAACTGTATAACTACAGCATTGAAAGCAGCTTGGAGAGAAAATTGTAGCATAGAAAATTGATAGAAAATAGTTTATTTCACCTGCATAAACTTCAGAATAGTATTCCTTTTGAAGCCTGCATTAGAGGGCCTTTCGAAAGTGAAAATAAAACTGCAAGGAAAACATGTGAAAACAATATTTTTTCCCCTTTGTCACACTTAGTAAGTGTATCCGAGAGGGTATTAGCTATTTATAGGCCAGGAGTCCCCAACCCCCAGTCCGTGGACTGGCACCAGGCCGCAGCATGTCAGAAACTGGTCCGCGCAAACAAGCAAAGCCCCATCTGTGGGATGCAGGCAGTACACGAAACCATGCCCCCTCCGGTCCACAGAAAAACCTCTCTCCACGGAACTGATCCCTGGTGCTCAAAAGGTTGGGGACCTCTGTTATAGGCGCAATTGTTTCAAAATATTTATGCCACAAGGTAGAAAACAGCATACCAGGTCCAAGAGGAAGTCACAAAATAATAATAATAATAAAATAAAGGAAAATAAACACAAAATCCCTTACACATAGATCCTGTAAAATGTGCATTAAGTAAACCGTGGTAGAAACCTGTAGTAGAGTATACAGTTATGTGATTCTTATCTACAGAACTAACTCTATAGGTACATTTATGTTTATACTTAAATAGTTACCATGTGTTTCTGAAAAAGCAGTACAGGTAGTCCTCGCCTTACAACCACAATTGAGCCCAAAATTTCTGCTGCTCAAGGAGACATTTATTAAATGAATTTTGCCCCATTTAAGACCTTTCTTGACACAGTTGTTAAGTGAATCTGGTTGTTTAGTTAGTAACATGGTTGTTAAGTGAATCTGGTTTCCCCATTGACTTTACTTGTCAGAAGGTTGTAGACGGTGCAACCGTCTTAAATATGAGTCAGTTGCCAAGCCTCTGAATTTTGCTCATGTGACCTTTTTCATAAGTGTGAAAAATGGTCATAAGTCAATTTTTGCAGTGCTGCTGTTCATATGGCCATTAAATGAACTGTTGTAAGTCAAGGACTACTTGTAGTCCATTAGTCCCTTATCTATATGTGCTTTTCATCTTTTTCAACCCTCACTAAGTTAGTTGTTGAGTCTCCCATTAGTGCAGCAATTTGTATACAACTTTATGAAATTACTCCAAGAAGCAGATGAATAAACAAGAGGATAGCGTAGAAGTGGGTAAGAAATGTTGGGAATCATTGATTGAACCAATCAATCAATCAAACAAACAAACAAAAAAACTGGGAAAGAAGTTCTTTTTGGAAGCAATCATGTTTCCTATTTGCAAATGTTTCTGTTCCCAGAATGTCCGATCGGTGGAATCCTGCTATTCGAAAGCGCATGTTGAGTGACAGCGGTTTGGGGAAGATGTCTCCCCACTATGAAGTACCTGAGAAACAGAAGGAGACCAGCCAGGTTCACCTGCTGCAGTAAGAGTCCTCTTCATTTTTCAGCTTGGTTCTGCCTTCCTTCCTTAATCAAAGGCAATACAAACTGCTCTTTAAAATGCATTTGGATAACTTCTCTGCCTTTTTAAAAATCAGTGTCTTTTGCCATATCTGTTTCAACTGTCTTGCATTTGAAGATTAGGTTATATAGAAGAATGTAAGACAGCTTCACTGATCCGATTCTAGCACGATAATATCTGCACTAGCTGAGTTCGCTCTTTCTTGTTTGTATGTCTGTCTGTCTCTCTAATCTATATTCTAAAGAGTAGTTTATGTTAGCTGTTATTTGCTGAGCAGAATTCAATGGCTGGGTTCATAGATAATGCTGAGCCACAAACCATGATGTGCAAATTATAGTGTTTGAGCTCATAACTGTGCTAAGCCATAGTATAGCAGTATTTGGCTCAGTGTTGGCTGGCAGCTGTCCTCCACTAGCTCCATGTCCTAACCTCTCCTGGAGTTGTCAATGATGGAGCTGTAAGCCTTTTACTAATACAGCACATCAATCCAACAGCAGCAGTGAATGGCTAAATTTGGGAATGAATTCTAAGGTCAATACTGGTGTTCAGCTGTTGTCAAAATCATTTCATGATGGCAGTAATAGCTGAAATGACAGATTGCAGGTCTGAGGAACCTGTAACTCTACATATTTTATTGAAGTATCATGATCATCATTTTTCATTCATTCATTCATTCATTCATTCATTCATTCAGGAATCCAATAACATCTGATCTCTTAAACCAGTGGTTTTCAACCTGTGGGTCGGGACCCCATTTGGGGTCGAACGACCATTTCACGGGGGTCGCCAAACAACGCAGTCTGCCATTTTTTTCCCCTTTTCCTTAGCTGTGCTACTCCCTTTTATTCTATTGGCTTTTGAAAGCCAATAGAATATACTCTCTTGAATAGAGTCTAATTCTATTGGCTTTCAAAAGCCAATAGGAATTGTCCAGGCTGTCTCTGCCCTGCTGAGCCCGCCAAAAGTCCCATTCTGCAAACGGTGCTGCACCAGTTGAGTAGTCCTCAACTTACGGCCGGTTGGGGGTCACGGCATTAAAAAGGTTGAGAACCACTGTCTTAAACATACAGCTGACCTTTCCCTGTGACCAACTCTGATGACTTGGTGCTTGCAGAATGATTCATCCAATTCCTGTAAATTCACAAGTCCAGATACTGTTGTAGATGCAGCAGTTTCAGTCATCCATGAACTAGTTGTTTTAAGAGATACAATTATATTAATAAAGCAAATATAATTCCATTCAATGGTCTCCTCCTTTTACAACATAATACTGTAGTGTACAATAAGCTTGGGGAGTGCCAATTCAACCTTCCTCCTCACTTTAAAATAATAAAAAAAAACCTCCCACAATTTATGATTTTCTAGAATACTTCTAGCTTCAGGAAAAATCCAAAAGATTTCTTAGAAAATGAAAAAAAGAAAAAGAGGAAGGAAGGCTAGAGTCCAGTGTTTATGCTTTCTTGCAATAGTAAATGGGGAAAGTTGAAAATACCTTGCAGGATTGGAACCAAGGTGAGGACATTTTGAGAAATTGATGCTGGATAACTGGCTAGGTTTTCTGTGAATAATTTTCTTGCCTGCAGGTCGTTTTGTGCCTAGAACTTTCCCCCCAAATTGCAAATGCATGAAAGAGAGAGAAAAAGAGAGAATCCATTTTCTCCCCGCCTCCCTGATATCTCTTTTGATCAGGAAATATCAGGTATTTCCCCTTTTCTCCTCTCTGTTCTCATTTTGTATTATTTTCCTTTCCTTTCACTCAGTGTATGCTTTTCAATTTCACTTGAAATGAAGAAAATGATGGGTAATACAGTCCTGTTGCAGGAAGTAAAAATATGATCATGTTTTTGTTTTCATCATTTGGGCAGTGAAGAGAGACACCTGGTAATGAGATCTCCATAGAATTTGATTTCTTCATAAAACTTTAGATTAAAACTATATATTCAAATGGTAGGGTGGAGGAAATGCTTTTGCTAACTGCATTCCTCTACTTCTTTTTCAAAAAGGCTATTTGAATTGAAAATTATATCAAGCCATCTTTTTTAAAAGAGTGGACAGTTTTGTATTTAAATAGAGGAAAATCAGCATTAAATCAAAGAACTTAGGAAATAGATTTGTGTAAAACTTGCACATGCCAATCTAAAGGTATACATATGCATTTATAAGAATGGTGATAAATATGTCTAAATATGGTGTCATCAAAGAGGGGAAGGCTTAGTGTAGTTCCTTGCTGGTTATCTTATCCCTTTTGGTTCTTAATTAAATTGGCCTGAACAGGGAGGACAATCTGCAGGTGCCTGAATTTTACTCAAGTCATACCAGATTTCAGTGACACGATTGTTGAAAAACGGTTGTTTGGTTTCCCATTAATATGGAATGGAAAGTTCATGAAAACAAAAAGGTAAGCTCCCAGACAGGGATAATATGATTGATAAAAGCAAAGAAAAAAATGGGAAGCAAATTACCATGGGGCGATTTTCATACCTGCAAACTACCTCTACCCTCATTGATAAAAAATAGAATTAAGCAAAGTTTCTATGATTCGTTCCCAAGAGACAATTGCTCATGGCAACTTCGTTTAGGGTAAATATATTCTTTTCAACTCTCCTAATCTAGAAACAGTTTGTGTTTAACTTATTTACTTGTATCAGTGAAAGCTACCTGTGTCTCCTTTGTTGCTGGACAGTGTCATATGCATTCCTCTAGGTGGCACTCAAATGTCAAGGATAACCGTCGGTATATAACTTCAACAACTTGTTTCCAGCTTTATATAGAAAGATTAAATGTTTTAAAAGACCAGAAATATTAAAATAAGTGTAGATGTATCTTAGGACGTGGAATATATTTCCCCAAATATGGGACCATGCAGGATTTTTTCTTCTTATGGTTGAAAGGTATATAACTTGTTGAAAGATGTTGCAGAGGGAGACATAACCAGAAGGAATTAGAATCTTATAGATGTCATTTGCATTTTCAGTTCCTCAAATTATTGTGGAAATTATAGGTCAGTATTACAATCTCCAAATTTCCCAGAACTAGGGAGAAAAAAGAAATCCAGCTCCTGATTAGAGTCCACCTACGTTGTTCAATCCAACAATATCAGAATATCATCTAGAAATGGAGAAATGTATTCATAGCTTTTGATTTGTTAATTTAGGTATGATCTAGGCCAGGGGTGTCAAACTGCTGCCCCGCAGGCCGGATGCATCATGCAGAAACTATGCCCACCCCATTGCTGGCAATGGCAAAACTCTCCTGATATGTTACATGATGTCACATAACATCGCAGGTTTGACATGTCTGATCTAGGCATTCTAGTAAAGTAAATAAATGATCCAGTTTCACACTAAGACATTTGGAGACAGCTATTTGGTCTCAACAAGTCTAAAGTCTGCTCTCAGCCTCCCCCTTGTAAATGTTTCCCACAGTCGTATCTCTGAGAGCTTTTACTTTTTTTATTTGATCCCCCACAATGCCCTGAAGACATCACATTCTCATAATGCACTAGAAGAGGTTCTCAGACACCGGGTATTCATTGGCCAATTGCTCCTTTCAATATTAAGCCTGTCAGGATTCAGCCACTGAGTTCATTCACACAGCAAGAGCGTTCACCCATTAACCCTTTATTTTTCAATGATATCTGGGCAAAATTGCAGTTGGGTGCTAACAGAATTGGATTTGAAGGCTGTGTGAAATATCACTGAGGATTTTATGGAATAAATATTAAGAGAATTAAAAGATAAAGATCTACTACTCCCTGTCCCTTCTGCGTGCCAGGAACCCAAAGCGTGGCAGCAGATGGACGTATGGAAAGCTGCTTAAGGTTCAAACTTGTTTGAGAATTTTTGTCACCATTTTATCCTTTGCTAAAGAGAAAGGGAATATAAACAACTGGAGATGGCTTGGTAGTACATCTTATCAGAGACTGTATCATAACTGCAGACAGTGGAATCTCTGCTAAGAATATTTTTAGGGAAGATAGAGTCTCTAGTAGAACAGCACCTGATAACATATCAGATCAATGCCCTGGAAAGTGACCTTTTATTTATGAGAACATTACTCTTATGCATCCATAGTTCCTCCTCCCCTTGGCAGATGTTAGATTAGTGAACTAGTGTTGGCTTCTTTATCTTAATGGTTTACAAGGAGAATACAGATAAGAAGCAAACAAGAGGGACTAACAATAAAAATTGTGCAATCTGCAAACTCTGGTAAGTAACTCTTTAAACCTTTCTGCACAGGTATTTGTTTTGTTTGCAAAGGGAATAAGAGGCCACAACACTAACTCCTTGCCAGTCTTCCACAATGCAATTTACCCTCTCAAGCCTGAAGCCAAAACTAAACTGAACTTCTGTGGAAAAAATGGAATTGATGAAAATGGAGACAATTTGCATTGTTACTATGTGACAGCCCATTACACCATAAGTGTCATTCTTTGAAAGAAAAACAAGTCATAAACCCAATTATCTAACTATGGGCCAAAGCCATGCATGGATACAACAACATGTGGCATCCCAGATGTTTGGTTTTATTTAATTTATTGGGTGACTCAATTAACTAATGATTTAAGGCAATTTATAAGAGGGTTGAAAGCCCTGATGGTCCAGGCAGTAAAACAGGAAAATAATAACCACATTATGGGAAATAAAAACTTAAAACGTACATTTTGCTCCCATCTGTCAGAAAAGCAGATTTTTCAGGATAGTGGTGGCACAATGATTAGAATGCAGTATAGCAGGCTAATTCTGCCAACTGCAAGCAATTCAATTCTCACTAGCTCAAGGTTGACTTATCCTTTCATCCTTCCGAGATCGGTAAAATGAGGACCCAGATTGTTGGGGTCAATATGCTGATTCTGTAAACTGCTTAGAGAGGGCTGTAAAGCACTGTGAAGCAGTTTATAAGTCTAAGTGCTATTGCTATAGTAAGTTGGAGACAGGTAGACTGTAGACTTTGATGTGGGGG